TTGCCCTCTTGATTCACCTGCTTGCCTTAATTTGTCCCTAAATTCAACTAAACTTAAATAAAAAATAAGAGGGGTTGTCAAGGCCATGGTGCCCACTTGGAAGCACTGCCTGGGCTGGAGCATTGGAGGCATTGGCAGGCAGGTGGGAAGGAGCTCTCACTGCAGTGTTCACAGGCAGGGAGGCTGCGTGTGGATGCGTTAGAATTGTGTGCTGTTGCCTCTCAAGATATCCACTAGAAACAGGTGTAACCAGGAAAATACAGGTCTCTGCCCACTGTTATTAACAGACTGTCATTTCCTGACATTGGGTCATGTGGCTTTAGGAGGCTGGTTCTCTATTTTTGTCTTAGTTCAATTTTTTGCATCCTAAAATGCCAAACCCAGTATGTGGCTGGGTAGGTAGAACTGTGCTGCCTGCCTGCCATGGGGGCTGCTCTCCCGCCTTACCCTCACGCCCACAGCTCGCTTGGTTCCGTGGTGGGCACAAGATGTGTTTGGCTATAAAGTCAAACTCTGAATGTATAATCTCTTGGTAGTAACATCTGAGTGGTGTTGCTCCTCCTGCTTTTTAAAAAGACTTTTCTTGCCATCTACAAAAAGCTTTTTTCTTTTTCCCAGTATTGCTCCTGTGCTGCCATATTTGCCCTTTTTCCTTACCTTCCTCTCAATTTTCTATCAACCACTCCTCTAAACTTCAGTTTAAAATTAAAATAAAGCCCAAAAAGGCTATTTGCCACCAGGGGGCGTGGTAGGACATGTTGCCAGTGGTCTGGCTCGTAGAGCAGAAATTTTGAATTTTAAAAATTAGCCACCCAGGCCAGGTGCAGTGGCTCACACCTGTAATCCCAACACTTTGGGAAGCTGAGGCAGGGGGATCGCTTGAGTCCAGGAGTTCAAGACCAGTCTGGGCAACATGGTGAGATCCCATCTCTCAAAAAAATAATCTAGAAAATAAAGATTAGCCACCCGGTTTTCCTTCTCCAGATGCTAAAGGTGATTCCTGTTTGGTAACAGTATTCCAGAAATGAGGGGAATAACATACCTGATAGGCCCAAGTCAGCTCTGGATAGTACATTGTCTGGATAGTACAGATTATGTGCTCCTGGGACATGCTTTGTTTATTCCTGCCAGGCCAGAAATTCAGCAGCCCTACCCCCTACCCTGCTTACTGTCACTGTGGGCTAGCCAGGCTCTCTGTTATGTAAGCACAGCAGGGGCAAGGTGGGGAAACCGTGTGTGAGAAAGGAGTGGCGTGGTGGCAGGTGGCCAGTGTAGGGTAGGAAGAGTGGGTACCCAGAGACCACTTGTTCAGAAGTTAACTCTTCTTCCCATCTGGCGTGAGTTACTCCATTGAAGGGTGCCAACAACAGTAAAGTGAAGGAGATAATGTTAGATTATTTTCAGGGATGATTCTCCAAGGTGACAGCAGATCTTAAAACCAAAGAGCTGGGTCCTGGAAGAAGGGGTCTTAGACTATTAACTTCTGATGGAAGGACCAGGGTGGGAGAGACATGAGTTGGGGACTGAGAACATCAGGAGGACCCTGGGTATGAGGACCTTTGGGGATGAGGCTTCACCATCAGCTGGAAGAATCCATGCTGTACACATGTACGTGCCTCTGCAGTTAGTGGTACTGGGATGTTTAGTGTGACATCCTTGAGGGGAGAGCCACTGAAAAGAGGAACATTATTCACATTTTGCTGTATTCTTGTAGCTGTCCGTGTCTTAATAATTCAAGCGTTGAATAGATGTTTGAGGGCCAGGCACTGCTCTTGAGGTGCTGGAGATGTGGTGACAAGCCCAGATCCCTGACAAGCTTAATGGACAGTGAATGTGCAGCTGTTCACAAGGCCGCTGGTGAGGGCAGGTAGAAGGAAGTGCAGACCTTCTTAAATGCAGGTGTACGGGCTCTACATGAAAGAGCGTAATTAACACCACTGTATACTTAAGGTAGTAACAGCTTCTTCGTAAAGTAGCAAAACTAAGGATCTGTGGAAAAGTTGCTGGTGCAAGTGCTTTACAAACTTACTAGAGACTCAGCCTTGGATTTAGGACTTTAAACAAGAGAATAGGATGGAACAAAATTTTTGCAGTAAATGTAAAAAATGCTGTGTAGGAGGTAGGCGTATAAGGATGCCCCAGCTGTAGGTTCTTTAGATTGTCTTTAGTATTTCCACAAGTAAGTTGTTTTTGATGCGTGTACTGGTATTGCTGGTAGATTTGAAGTGGAGTCTGGCAGCTTCTTCCACACTCCCCTCCCACTAGCTTGTGTCAAGGTGTGACATCCTATACAGCAAAACTAGATGAACTTATGCCCCCAGGCGGTGGCTCTCAACTTTCATTGTTAGTTTAGAAATTTTGGTCAGGTGCAGTAGCTCGCCCCTGTAATCCCAGCACTTTGGGAGGCCATGGCGGGTGGATCACTTGAGGTCAGGAGTTCAAGACCAGCCAGGCCAACATGGGGAAACCCCGTCTCTACTAAAAATACAAAAATTAGCCAGGCGTGGTGGCATGTGCCTGTAGTCCCAGCTACTCGGTCGGCTGAAGCAGGAGAATCACTTGAACCTGGGAGGCAGAGGTTGCAGTGAGCTGAGATCACACCACTGCACTCCAGCCTGGGCAACAGAGCGAGACTCTGTCTTTAAAAAAAAAAAATTCATCTAAGCCCCAGTGAACCTCCTGGAAGGAGAGCTAGCCCTGGCCAGCTGTCTCCAAGGTGACTGGATGCTACAGAAGAACTGGGACTGTCTTCTGCGGACTCGTGCCTCCTGGAGTTGTCAGAACACTGTCCTGTGTCTGTCTAGCCATGGGGTCTGCCATGAAATGCCTGTGGATCTGTCACTGGGTTGGTATTTTTAACTTTCACTTGGGTGAAACTTGTTCATCATTTTAAATAAAGCAACATGATTTGGAGTTGTGTTTTTGGCATTGTTTTGTCCTTATTTTCTTTCTTACTCATTTGAAAGTCAATAGAATGTACTTTGTCAGCGGAACAGGACTTTTTAAAAATGTATTTATACTTTAAAACAAAGAATGGGGCACAAAAGTAAGACCCTGGGCCAGAAGCGTAGACGCACACCTATAATCCCAGCTGCCCGAGAGGCTGAGGCCGGAGTGTCACTGGAGCCCAGGATTTCGAGGCTGCAGAAAGCTATGATCATGCCTGTGGATAGCCACTGCACTCCAGCCTGAGCAACATAGTGAGACCCTGTCTTTTTAAAAAAAAAAGAAAAAAAAAAGACCCAGTCTCTTTAAAAAAAAAGGAAAGAAAGAAAGGTCAGCTGGGCGCGAAAGCTCATGCCTGTAATCCCAGCATTTTGGGAGGCTGAGGCGGGCAGATTGCCTGAGGTCAGGAGTTCGAAACCAGTTGGACCAACATGGTGAAACCCTGTCTACTAAAAATAGAAAAAAAGTAGCTGGGCGTGGTGGTATGTACCTGTAATCCCAGCTACTCAGGCAGGAGTATCACTGGAACCCGGGAGGCGGAGGTTGCAATGAGCCAAGATCGTGCCACTGCACTCCAGCCTGGAACACAGAGTAAGATCCATCTCAAATAAAAAAGAAAAGAAAGAAAAAAATAGTAAGGCCCATACACTGACTGAAAGTTCCACAGTGGTCAAAAGCTAGTTGCCCATAAATAAAGCCTATTTCACTTTTTTTTTTTTTTTTTTTTTTGAGATGGAGTCTTGCTCTGTCTCCCAGGCTGGAGTGCAGTGGCGCGATCTCGGCTCACTGCAAGCTCCGCCTCCCGGGTTGACGCCATTCTCCTGCCTCAGCCTCCCGAGTAGCTGGGACTACAGGCGCCCGCCACTGCGCCCGGCTAATTTTTTGTATTTTTAGTAGAGACAGGGTTTCACCGTGGTCTCGATCTCCTGACCTTGTGATCCGCCCACCTCGGCCTCCCAAAGCGCTGGGATTACAGGCGTGAGCCACCACGCCCGGCCACATTTTATACTTGGGGGCTCTTTTCATCAACCACCACTAAAAGGAAATGCATGGCCCTTTTAATATCATGCAGTGCAGCAGAATTCAGCTCTCCCTGTTGCTGGGGGGTCTTGTTTGTATATCTTCATTTAAAAAGAAGCACTTCATCTCACATCTTGGTTTGTATCACAGATCAGCTCAGGCACTGTAATTTTCCCAAAAAAGTATTAAATGCATCCTCAGCAAAAACTGGAACCGTGGTTTTTTAACATTAGGCCTTATGTTTGGCATGATACCTGACATGCCCATCTTGTGTTTATTTAAAATAACTAAAGAGTGGGTGGGGCGTGGTAGGAAAATATGTTTTTGGTTACAACGTGTTTATCTCAAAATCCACTGTTCAGCAACAGAGGCCTGGGAGGACCTGGAGAAACAAAAACAATAGCCTTCATTTCCTTCACTGCACCCTCCCACCCTGCATGCATTCTGGAATTGTGCAAAGAAGAAAGTCCGGTAGGAGGAATAGCGTTGACCAAGGACCTGCAGCTGAATTTCAGGTCTAGGGGCGGGGGAGCCATGTTATGTTACAGGGAGGCCTGTGTTGAAGACTGCTGGCCTCAGCGCCGAAGGGAGCATTCACTGGCTGGGATCTGGAGATGTCCTCTGTGAAAGTGCATTAAGGCAACCCTAAGGATTAAAAGCAACTCCTTACATGCCTATAAAAACGGCAGTGGCTAAACGTAATCCGGCTTTTCATTGTTTTACAAGGCAATCCAGGCTGCTGTTTCCATGAATCTTCCCGGGTTTGCTTGTCTCTCTGCATTCCCCAACTAGCACTGATATTTCCAAAATGCTCTAAGACGAACTGCTGTACCAAGGCCAAAGATGACAACCTCAGGGCACATCATACAGTATTTCAAATTGAACCTGAGTTAAATGTGCCCCAAAGCGTCAAGGCTGCCCAGGCTGGGCAGGGGTTGGCTCTCCTGTGCCTCCCAGGGGGTCAGGACTCTGCCCCCCTACACCCCCGCTTACAGCCTGTGCGTCACCACCGGGGGCCGGAGGATGCCAGGGGCGGGGCGCGGGCGACGGGGGCTCCGCCCCGGGGCGGGGCGCGGCGACCGGGCGCGGCGAGCTCCCTCGGGGTCCCAGCGGGCCGGCACTCGGCGGCCGCGGCGCAATGGAGGCGCCGGCCGAGCTGCTGGCCGCGCTGCCTGCGCTGGCCACCGCGCTGGCCCTTCTGCTCGCCTGGCTGCTGGTGCGACGTGGGGCGACCGCGAGCCCGGAGCCTGCCTGCACGCCCCCGGAACCCGCGCCCCCGGCCGAGGCCACCAGGGCCCCAGCGCCGTCCCGCCCCTGCGCCCCCGAGCCGGCGGCCGCGTCCGCGGGGCCGGAGGAGCCTGGGGAGCCCGCGGGGCCGGGGGAGCCCGGGGAGCCTGCGGGACCCGGGGAGCCCGAAGGGCCAGGGGATCCCGCGGTGGCGTCAGCGGAGGCGGAGGAGCAGGCGGCGGAGGCGAGGCAGGTATGCACCGCGGCCCCCGCGGCCCTCTCCCCACCCCCGGGGCTCCAGCCGCCGCTGCCGTTCCCCGCCGAGCCAGGGAGCGGGACCGCAGCCTCCAGCCCAGGCTGCCCCCGGGAAGCGCAGAACCCTCGGCCCACAGGAAATGCAGGTCCCGCCATGCTAAGCCGCAGGCCCGCAAAGTCGCCGCCCTCCCCCAGAAAGTGTGGCGAGGGGCGACCCCGAAGGAGTTTGTTTGGAGGTGTTTTGCTCTCCCCTCACCTCGGCCTCTCCCAGCCCAGGGCGTGCTCCGCAGCTGCTGGTTCCCAGGCCTCGCGACGGGACTTGGAATTTTGCTCCACACCCACTTCTGACCCCTCCCGCCCACCGGTTCCCAAATCCACGTGCCTATGGCTTATTTCAAGGCCTGCCATGAGAGTTATCTTGATGTTTAAAAAGTAGTACTTTCGGGGGGCGAGGGAGGAAAGCTGGCTTTTCTTTTTCAGTCAGTTTGAAGTCAAGATTTCAGAGTCAGTGCTGTGGTGTTTTGTGAAGCCCGTAGGCTGAGACTGAAAGAAAAGGCACCCGAGCCCAGCAGTTCTTTTTATTGTCGTTTTAAGCTACACATCTCCTAACACCCTCCTACCCCCACTCCCCCGGGTTGTAGGTAAGCTGGGCCTGGAGTGAAGATGCAGGATAAAGCCCTCCTGGAACACCAGGGAGCACCCCAAAGCGGCCCTCCCTGCCTCTGCCCCAGGCCTCCCACCATGCTGTCCGTCAGCTCGGGCCCTGGCCACCCTGTCCTGCCTGTGGATATCAGGAGAGGAATCGGATTTCCCTCATCCACTCATCCTAGTCCCTACACTCTAGACTGGAAACCTGTGTGCTCATGTTCCCAGGAGTTCACCACGCTTGGCTGGTCCAGGCCACCGCCATGGTCTCCAGTCGGATTGTAATCCCTTGTTCTTACCCCTGAGCTCCTTTTCTTGGAAGGGAGGAGAGCCAGGATGCGCGTTGTCTGCGTGCCTACGTGCCCACTCTGTCCTGTGCTGGACACAATGGTTTACCCTGGAGAGAAGCCCTTCGGGGGAGGAGGAGGCAGCCAGGCTGTGCTCAGAGGCATTTCTCTTTGCTGAGTAAGTGCGCCAGACCCCATCTGAGCAGGCGCTTTGCTTGACAAGTGGGTGACTAATTGTGTCATTAGAGAGGATTCTAACCAGCCCGTTTAATGGGGTGGGGGGTCGGGGGGCAAGCCCTGCCGTTCTTGCTTGAGGTGGGCTTGCAGACCTCGGGGTGATGGGGGAGGGGGGCGGTTCGGACATGTGCTGACCTGTTGTGTTTGCTCCCATATTTGGGATTCCTGCCTCCGTCGAGGTCTCGCGGGAGCAGGAGAGGCCTTTAGACAGTTCTGGAGCCGTCATGCACCCTCAGTCAGTCAGCCCTGGCCTTACAGGGCTGTCCCTTTATCACCCACACCAGGCTCTGGACTGAAGTGCAGAATGTCCTTTAGCAGCGCCCTGTCTTATCTCAATCCTGTGGGGCACGACGCTTGAAGAACTTTTTACAAGGCTTTCAGCTCTCAGCACATGATACCTACAGGAATAGGTTCATTGGTGTTTAAATAGGGCCCCTCGCATAATTTTCCTCTGTCTGGGCGAATGCACGTCCTCTGAGGCTGAATGGGTGCTCTGAAGGACAAGGCAGTACAGGGGTTCACATGCCAGCCAGCCCCCATAACATAGGTGCCAGTGAGGATGACTTGAGGCTTGTGTTTGTCCTCCCGGTAAAGCACCCTCCAGAGGGAACCCACCCAACAGGAGAATTCAACTGAAGTTAGTGTCCTTCCCCTTTGGGCTCCAGTCCCCAGGCCTTCCTGAGCTGGCCAAAGCTCCCCCAAAACTCCTGCCTGCAAACATTAAGCCAGGTGCTGTGGGGACACAGATACTGTGTCATCCCACCCACTCCCAGTGGTGGCATTACTTAAGAAGCTGCTTAGAAATTGTCTTAATGAGCTTCAAGTCAGTGACAAGTAAAAAAAAAAAAAAAAAAAGGAAAAGAAATTGTCCTGAAGTGTACGCCAGCATTTCCAAGAGCTTCCAGTGCTTTCTTCTGATGATCACACTGCTGGGGCTTGGAGGACAGATCAGGAAAAAGGCCCCCTGGGGAAGACAACTCAAATCGGGGTTGGGAAGTGGGGTGATACCCTCTGCCAGCCTCCTTCTTCCTCCCTCCCTCCCTCCCTAAGCAAACCCCATCAACAGCAAGGGAGGAGGGTAACACCACCTGCTGTTAGCTCGGAAGTCACTGCCCTGGGGAGCAGCGTGTAACTCACCTCTCCCCTCCCTCTTCATTTTCCATTAACTGCTTCCTTTCTAATCCAGTCCTCTCCCTTCCCAAGGATGCCTGGGCTGGCTGGGGCAGCTGCTGCCACCGACTACAAAGCTGATTATTGAGAGGATCTCTCACCCCAGGAAGCAGCCTTCAGCTGCTGTTGGGGATCACTCAGGAGCGTCCCCTAGGTGCACGGTACCCTCTTTGGCCAAGGACAAAGTAGTGGGGAGGGGCCACTGTAGGCTGAGACCCTGAAAATGGACCAAAGAAATGGGGATGAGATCAGTGCAGCCTCCCCAGGGCAGCACAGGCCAGGGCAGGGAGGCTGAGAAGAAGCAGAAAGATACTGCTAGAACCTCTTTTTCTTTCTCTCCTAAGGATTAGTGAGGGGTGGGCTGTGAGGAAGCATTACAGGCAAGTCCTGTTCACACAAAGAATCATGAGCCAACGAAGTCAAGAACAAGAGCTGGCCTCTTTTCAGGCCAGGACTCAGGGCTTTCTTGGTGCTCTTGTGTAGGTTGGGGTTTTAGGATTGCCAGGCCTCTTACCTAATGGAGTTGTGGATTCGAGCAAGGCTGGATGGTTGGATTCCCAAACAGTGGTCATTGGCAAAGCGTCAAGGGTCATTTGAATAGCACTAGAGTTAAATCTCTTGTCTGTGCCAGGACTCAAGTATCTCGGCACTTGGGGCCTATCTCTGCTCAAAGACAGACTAGAGGCCAGGCACGATGGCTGAAGCCCGTAATCCCAACATTTTGGGAGGCTGAGGTGGGAGGATCACCTGAGGTCAGGAGTTCGAGACCAGCCTGGCCAACATGGCAAAACCCTGTCTCTACTAAAAATACAGAAATTAGCCAGGCATGGTGGGGGGCGCCTGTAATCCCAGCTATTCAGGAAGCTGAGGCAGGAGAATCACTTGAACCCAGGAGGCTGAGGTTGCAGTTGAGCCAAGATTGTGCCATTGCACTCCAGCCTGGGCGACAGAGCAAGACTCTGTCTCCAAAAAAAAAAAAAAAAAAAGACAGAGTAGGGACTTCCTGCAAGGCAGTGGGCCGGTGTCATGCACAGAGAGACTCTTCTAGATTTAATTGGGATTTAGGAAATTAAAGCAATATGACACATAAATACAATCTTGATCCTTGATTGGATTCTCGATCAGGGATGGGAGTAGGGAGCTATAAAAGACACACTGGAGATAATTGAGACATTTTTTAAATAAATGGGTGTGTTAGGTAAGCTTATTGAATCAACGCTGAATATTTTGTGTACAATACCGGCAGATGGCTGTGTAAACAATGGCCTTATCCTTAGGAAGATGCATGCTGAAACATTTTGGGATGACATGTCATGATTCCAATAGTTACAGGCACATTCACACACACAGTGTGGGTGTGTATGGAGAGAGAATGCAAAGATGGCAAAATGTTAACAACTGGTGAATCTAGGTGAAGGGTGTGTGGTATTCATTGTATTATTCTTTCAACTTTTCTGTAGGTTTGGAATTTTTCAAAAGAGAATGTTGAAACAAAGAAGCCCAGTGGGAAATTTCTTGGGAAAGGGGTTGATTTTTTAGCCACTCTGGTGGTGGTGGTCTGAGTGGGTAGCACAGCCTCCATCTGTCTGTCTTCACCATGTGACTTGGGCCTGGTCCCCTGAAGTCATCCTGCTGTCAGGTCCACCTGTGTCCTCTGCCCTCACCAACCTGTTCACCATAGGTGTGGGCTCTGGAAGCTGCGGAGACCCCAGCCTTCCCAGAATGACCCAGGAGCGGGTGAACTTCCCCATCATCTGTCCTGCGTTTGTGATGGCAGTGTGGGCCTTTGTGATGGCAGTGTGGTCCTACTTTCTGTTCTCTTAGCAAAATCTCAGAAGCCAAGTAGTGGAGGGCCAAGCAGATATTTGCCAGTTGTTTATATCACTTTAGGTCCTTGTCTTTAAGCAGCTTAGGCTGATATATCAAAATACCACAGACTGGGTTGCTTAAACAACAGGCATTATTGCCTACACTTTTGGAGGCTGGGAAGTCCGAGATGAGGTATTGGCAGATTCTGGTTTTGGTGAGGGCTCTCTTTTTGACTTGCAGACAGCCACCTTCTTGCTGTACTTTCACATGCCAGAGAGAGAGGAATGTCTCTTCCTCTTCTTATCAGGGCCCTCATAGCATTGTAGGGGCGCCACCATCGTGACCTCATCTAAATCTCACCTCCCAAAGGCCCCCACCTCCAAATACCATCACACTGGGGGTTAAGGCTTCAACAGATGGATTTGCAGGGGACACAAATATTTAGTCCAGAACAGGCCCAGTGACTTACTGGGGAAAAAAACTAGAAATAATCCAAATGTTCATTAATTAGCACATTGGATTCATTAGCAAATTAGTATGAAATAAGTAAAAAGGTAGAACGTAACATATTGCATTCACAATAATTATAATGATATAGAGCAACTGAATAGAAGATGCCTTGGAGGGCTGTCAGTGGACTTCTATATTCAGTAGTTCCAGTGGGTATTTTTTTGTAAAGTTGTTTGAGCGCATAACTTAATTTTTTTCCACATATGAAAGAAGTCCAGGGGCTTTCCTAATAGCTAAACTTTGTTCTTTCCGAGAGAAAGAGTCTTGGTTACAGACTCATGTCAGCTAGAATTTTCTGCTTAGCAAGGAGTACGTTTTTAAAGAATATGTCTTGAGAAAA